CCGTTTAATTCGTTAAAAGGTTCTATTTTTAATAAATCAGTTACTATAAAATTATACCAAAAGGATTCCTTTGAATAGTGAACCTTTTTGCATTGTTTTATATTTAACATTAAAATTAATATTTAGTTAAGACTACTGTAAGTTTTAAAGTTCCTCCATAAGACAGGCTAATACTATTTAAGATGTATTTGAATCGAACTGTTTCATATTATTCCACTATATCATAACATAATTATAGTAACGTTTTTGTTTTATAATATGTTTTCATTTTTATCAGTTTGAGGACGCCCCAATTCAGGCAAAAATAGTTGAAGTCGCCCCCCTTTCCACACCTACCGCCACCCTCCCATTATTAATGACTGGTCCCTAAGCAAATTATTTTTCTAACATGACTAGAAATCTATTTATTTTACTTCCTTTGTAATTTCCATATCACGTTGAAATAGTATGGTTTCAACTGTAAACAGTGAATTATCAGCCTAACTAGCCTAGTCCCAGACTCTCTCTCTATTCGCTGCTTTGATATATTTAAATAAGTCTTAAAAGTTTTATGCCTGGGTGTGCTGTGCGGAACGCTTCAGCGAGAGGGCTTATAGCGGATTTCGGTAAAATGGTCCCTGATTTCAAAAAAGCGGTCCCTGTCCTGCTAACCAAGCATACCGCATTTGTAAATAGAAAATGTTATGGAAATTTCCTTTGCGTTTATAATTAAGTCATTAGTTCTGCTCTAATGCTGTCGGAACAATGAAATAGGCTACGTTTCGCTACCATACGGTCAGAATGGAATAACGGGCTAAATACGACTTGTGCATGTTTACTAAAATATAAAGTCATATTAAATTATATCTAGAAGCTTGAAAATTATGCCGAGCCTCCGACTAAAAATGTTTTGACAACACAGTCATGTCAGGCAAATATTTCCAATCTCCTCAGCTACTTAAAACTGTCAAGTAGAAAGCGTAGCTGCATGTGTATACCAGTATCATGGTCTAGTGTTGATCACAACTTGCAAGTATATAAATATCATCAACGATTATACGCCCATTGCTCAGACTCAGTATCGTAAATTTGTATATATTTTTTACAACATGAGCTCCACCTTTGAATTTACTATATGAGTAAATTCTTAAACACGTCCGAATTTATCATTATGATAAATTCGCGGCACATTTTGAATTTATCAATA